GAAATGGGAGGGAGGTGCTGCAGGGAGGATCAGAGGGGACGTGTGGGATGCAAGGCTGAGTCAGCTTCCAGCACCACTGCAAAATCCTGATTTGTATTGTTTTATTATTCTTTCACTTTTCTTCAGAAGAAAATTAGGGAATTAAAAACTCTAAATKCTGTGTGCTTTCCACTGCAGGAAATAATGAAGAAAACAAGAAAACCTAGGAAGGATTTCTTCTGGAATGATGTCCTAGTGGCTGATCCAGAGCCATCAACCAACAGACTGAGTTCAGGTGCTGAAAAATTAAGATTTCAATGATATAATGTGAATAAAAATCTGCCTTTAGATGCATGTCCTTCATTTTGTGATTATTTTTTAGAATCTTACACTGCGGTCAAGTCTGCAACAAAAAAATGCTCCAAATTTGGACTCTGCAATCTTGGAGATCCTCCCCAACCCAAATGACCCTCTGATATTAAAAAGGCTCAGTTTGCAGCCACTGAATTTGAGTTTGTCCAACTGAAACTCTTCAGCACCATTATGGAAATGCTCTTAATTCTAATGAAATTCAAGAACCTCTTGCTGACCGTTTCCAACTGAGGATATGCAAAGTTGTGACCTGTGGGATAAATTGCGACAGAGAAGAGGAAATCCAGGAAAACCCAGGAAACCCAGGAAAACCACGGTGTCACTGACCCTGCTGTGAAACCCGGTGAGAAGCTGCTCTGGGGGTTTTTGGGTGGTCAATATGCAGGAATTTCAGMTCCACAGCTGCTGACCACAACTCCTGGGAGCAGAAATGACAGGTCAGGCTGTGCTGGGAGGAGATGGCACAACCAAGAGTTCACAACCCACCGAGGTGGCTCCTGTTGGGGACAGATGGCCCCTAAAGCCAGCTGTAATTGCAACATATTGATCTGGAATCTGTGATCAATACTGTCTTTATAGAGGGAATTTTAAATATAAATTGCATCGTATATCTGTTGGTGAGGACAAAAGCCCTGCGTGATGGAGATCCTGCTGTGCCAGCCCTGGAGGCACCACAAAATGGGGACAGGGGACAGGGGACAGCCCAGACAGAGCCATCCCTTCAATCTCTGCCCAAAATCGACCTGTCTGCCTCACCCCCATGTCTGAGCAGGTTTGGTTCCATGGTAAAACCCACMTGGGTTCCATGGGGAGCCAGCACAGAGCCGGGCTCCTCTCAGCAGAGCCAAAATTCCAAAATTCCTCTGCTCCCAGGTCACCAAGGGCAGCTCATTTTCCATTCAAATCATCCCCTTCTGGTTTAGGAGCTGAGCTGAGGGTGTGGAGTGATCAATAAATATGGCACTTTATCAAAATGTGATTAAGGAGAGAAAAAAGCCCAAAAATTAGGGAAACAATCCCTGCCATTTGAATGTATGAGTGTCGACTCAACAGCCTGCAAACCTGGCTTGGAAGGCTTCACCCCTCTATCGTGCTAATATATAATTATTGATTTTTAAAATGACTTTTTATATCCTCCCTGATCTCTAAAAAAGCTAGGGAGGTCAGTCTTGTAAATACTTTTACAAGTAGGTAATAAAAACCATGATAACTTGCATTGACAAGTAATTACTGGGCAGGTTTGTTAGCAGATTCTCAAAGATTTTTTTTTTAACCCAACAATTATTATTGTACTAATGACAGCCATTTTTAAAGTCAAGTGTCCCTCTCCCTCTCAGCTTAAGTAATAAGAGCCTGGAAAAAAACACCTGAGACTGATCCACTGAAATTCTCATCTATGAGGCCCCAAAGGGATGCTAATTACATCTCCCTGTTTTAAAATAGAACACTTTTTTTTTCAGGTGATATGGCTTATTTTGACATGGATGGTGGCGGGGAGGGAGCTCTGGTTTCTGAAGAAATCTTTCAAAGCAGTGTGGAAGGGTAACAATTCTTCCTGCTTTATTTCAGTGCAAGAGCATAAACAGCTTGGATATGTGGTGTATCAATATGCCACTTGTTAATAAGCAAGGACGTGAATCATAAATATTCGGCTGTTTGATCACCAGGCTTTTAATTAATGTTTTGATGATCTCCAATAAGAATAAAAGTCAGAACGATAGATATTGAGTAGCGACGACAGAGAAAAGATGCAATGATTTTCTGTGTTACCTGATTTATATGACAGAAAAACTATCAGCTCATCCAGTTTTGTACAGAGAAAAGAGAGGAGAGACGTACATTTTCTTTTTTTTTTATATCATATTGTAAAAAAAAAATAAAAATCACTTAATTCAAATGTGTACCTAAAGCGTTCCCCGAGGACAGCGATGCAGGCGGAATGACGGAGCTGCAGCACCGTGTGATAAAGGTTTGTGGCTGGATTTTTGAACAAAATAGCTGCTCCCACTCAGTGAAACCTCCTGAACAAAACCTGCCCTCCCTCAGGGGGTTTGGMCTCCCCAAAATCTCCCCAAACCCTGGCAGGGCTGTGTGTCCTGTGGTCACCCTGAGCTCACAGGGCACCATCAAAGGCTCTTTTCTGCCAGAACTGAGCAGGTGATGGCCCAAGGAGTCCCAGCTCTGGGTGCTGCGGGCTGGCCGGGCACTCCAGCCCTGCTTTTTGTGGGAAGAGGCTCCCAACAGCTTCTGTATGGGAATTCTGACAGCAAAACCCAGCCAAAACCCAGCCAAAACCCAGCCAAAACCCAGCCAGGTCCCACCCGTGACAGCAGCAGGGCTGGGAGCTCCACCTGTCACGAGCAGCCTGGTATTTTCCCCTAAAGCTCGGGGAAGAAGCCACACGTGGGTGATTTTCCGTGGCCTTTGGGTCAACACCACCATCCCCACCTCGTGTGACTTCACCCCGTAACTCTGCCCTGGGCCCTGCAATTTAGCAGCTTCTGAGGAGCTCGATGCTAATGCATTGATTTGGCTTTAATAGAATTTTGTTGTCGATGGCCGGTGCTCAGCACGGCTCGGGCTTCAATCTTAACCCATCTGAAGGCTCTGCTCGTTTCCAGTTGAGCTCCGTTCATTTCCAGTTGAATAGGTTAAGCAAAGACAGACCTCACTGTTCTCAATTCACTTTATGATCCTCCCATCATAAAAAATAATATCAGCACCTTGCTTTTCATGTCAGAACTACATTTGAGCTGCTATTCCCTATGCCCATGAGTAAATCCCATAAAAGCCGCCCCGTTGTACTGTCGCTATTTTTCCTTGTGGATGATTGATTGATGGATGAGTGCTGACACTTCAATGAAGCTATTTCGACTGCCATCTCAATCCGATGATGTGAGGGGTATATTTTCTGTCCATGCCTCATTACTTCAGAATGACATTCCTGGAACTTCATTTACTTTTTCCCTCCTTCCCTCAAGCGCCATATTTTTTCCCATCTAGGTTATGCATGCCATAAAAAAAGCAATTTGCTATTATATGTGGCATAAGGGCAACACTTTCCCTAGGAGGTAAATAAGAAGGGCCTTTTTTTTCTCCTCCATGTTGAGTTTAGGGATCATGTCAAAATTTCCCGAGCAGTGCCAAGCCAGACCCTTCTGCAGGAGCCACGGGGAGTGCAGGGAACACGTTCAGTCTGATTTTGTGACTGCTGCACTTCAATTACAGCCTCGAACATCGCAAACAAAACAACAGCAAAAGACACCCCAAAGCCCTTTCTGATTTGAGAAAGAGCCTCCTCTCTGCTTGTGCCTCGCATACTTTGAATATTTCATTTGCCACGGAATGGCGATTTACAACTTGATCCAGACTTATTTTTCCTTGGAGGATAGGGGAAGTTCATCGTTAAACGCAGAGATGGATTTGTCTACTGGAGGTCGCTTTCTCTGAGCGAGAGAGAGCAGGGCTGCGCCTGCATTTCCAAGCAGTGCACTAGGAAAAGTGAGACTTGTGACATTGGCATATCCTGGAAGATCCTGGGAGTTGACTTGGGACCCGATTTTAATCTGTGTAATACAGTATTCCCGTTAATAATAATGTATAATTAAGACATCCGTTAAAAATCCATAACGTTAATTTAATGGAGAAAATCTAATACAGTTCTATTGGAATTTTTACGTTAAATTAACTTTAACGGGCTTTTAATGGATGTCTTAATTAGATCTCATTATTAACGTGAATATTCCACAAATTAAAATTGGGACCTCGAAGTTTTAATGAAAAAAGTTCCAAGCACAAATTTGAAATTGCCATTTTTGTAGCCCCCTTCTCCCAGGTCTGGGTGGGTTTGAAGGCAGGGCCACGCCGGGCTGGGCAGAGCTCAAACACCARATTCTGATCCCATTTTTGGTGGCACAAATCCAAAACCACTCTGTTGACCACAACAGGGCTTCAGATTTGCACTCACCTGACTGAGAAAGGAGTTCTACTTTTATTCTTTTATATCTATATATAGATATTTATATAGTGATATTTATATATAGATATATCTATATTTATATAATGTTCAATAATCTAACAATAGTACTTTTGTTTAAAAATCCCTCCATCCCACATGTCTCGTCATAAACCGTAATGGAGATTTAAATATATATATATATCTGAGGAATAAAACAAACTGAAAATAATCCATTTCAAACAAATCTTTGGCAGCAACATGGTTAAGCATAACTATTTGAACAACTTGCACAGAAGATTAACATTGTTCAGAGGTTTTTTGGCTCAGAATCTGTTTTAACTTAATAATTCTTGTACTTACGGTGATGTATTGATCCCTAGTGCAATGACTGGATTGGGCAACCCAGGTGCAACAGTAATAGCTGCACAGAATAGAAACATTTCCTTTAGACAAACTATCCCAAAGGGGTTATAAATAGGAAATGGACATTACCATGAAAAGTAAAGCTTCCAATGTGACTGCATCTTGTGTAGCACACTTGGACATTAAACTATGAAGAATTTTTTTTTTTTTCCTGTCAAGTGTTACAAATTGACGAAATAAGTACATCAATGTTCTCAGTCATTATCTTACTTCAGTGGCACTTTGTTTTAGTGACAGCAAAAAGGGACAGTGGAGACCAGACAGCCCCAGTGCAGTTTATCAATGAAAATCTAATACCGTCCATAAGCAGGGGAGTGGAAATCAATACTTCATTACCAAATTGTTAGTGAGGATGAAGAAGAATAGCAGGAGTTTTTTGGCAGCCTCCTCGGTGCGGGTTGCTGGGAGTTCAATGTCAGGGCCGCGGTGCCGAGCGGGGCCGGGCGCGGGGCCGGGCTGGAGAGCTGGGCTAAGGCAATCGTCCTGCAAACACAACAACAACAACAACACAGCCACGGTTAACACACGGGTCAGCCCTCCAGCCCAGCTCTGAGCGTGGAAATGTCTGGAAATGAGCTCTGTTCCCTCTGCCCACCCACCGGCTCACGGCGAGCGWGGATGGAACCCTGGTCTGAAACCACGCAGGGATCCACGGGCAAAGCCCAGCTCTGCTTTTCCCTCATGTTCCTTAAATCCAGACTTCCTTCCCACAGCCAGCAGGAACATGCTCTGAAATCCTTATGGAGGGTTGGGCCCTCGTTACCCACACCGTGTTTAATTATCCACCCTTGCTGTGCGATTCCTGCTCGTCGTGGCACCTCCCCGGCATTAAAAACCATCTTCCAACAGACCTTTTTTATCCTGCAGCTGCTAAAAGTGCTAAGTGACTCAAGTTGTGAAGTTACTGCTACACAGAGACAGAAGGGGCTTGTTTTATTTCATTTCAAGATGTGGGTTTAAAAGTTCAGCCCCAAGTTGAGTTCTGCCTTGCTTATAAACCTGGGAGAAAGACACTGAGGAAAGCAGTGGAAAAAAGCAACTGGAGAAACAGGGTGAGAAATGAGGCAGGCAATAAGCAGAGTGAAAGTCAATCTGGAGAGAGCACAGAGGGGAAAAAAAAAAAAAAGACCTGCAGTGGGCAAAGAGAAATATGTTACTGAAAAATATATTATCTGTTCAAGGCCATGGATAGTTCAGCAAACACAACTCAAATGCTGCRGTGTGTTCCCCGTGTTCTGGCTAAATCAACTGGAAATTCAGTAGCAGCTTTATTTAGAGTAAAATAAACTCAGCTTCTCAAAAAAAAATCCATATGAAAACAAAAAAGTCCATTGACTTCATGSTAGTCAGTTTATAATTTGGTTTGTTTTACAAAATCTTCACCTTTTCGGTTTTCACAGTGATGCTGAGTTYTGCATTGGCAACCCAGACCTGCTGTGGAGAAACTGTTGGAAGGAAAGAAGAGGTTTTGGCAGCTGAATGCAGAGACTTTTGGCAACTGAGGATGCATGGAAGTCAGTTTGAAATTGTGGTGAATACCTTGGATCATTATTCCCACTTAAAAGATATTAAAAGCAATCCATGTTGACACTTTAAAATGTTGCCTTTAGGTTTCAGAGGTAAYGCTCCAGAGCAATTCACACTTCACAAAGCTATTATTTTTCACTGCAAAAGGGCAAAGCCGTGCCAGTTTACACCCCGCTCGAATTTTAAAGAAATCCAGAAGCCTTGTTATTGTAGGGCCTAGAGCTGAAAGGCAGCAATGCWGTGGCCAATTCTCACTGTGGAAATGATCTGAGTGGGGATGGCGCATGCAATGGGCTTTGCCTTTCCAGGCTGAGGTTTCCAGGATGGAAAATTCCCYGGGACAGCCCAAATTGAGTGGTTCCTTGGGTGGTGCCAAGCCCTGCAGCACCTGCCTGCCCCGTGGAATTGGGACAGACACCTCGGGTGAGAAAAGGGACAGCACTGACCCCGCTCAGGGCAGCAGCAGAGACTCTGCTTTCACTCAACTCTGCCCCCAGAACGTCCTCAGGATAATTAAACAGCGTGCTTCTTTTCAGTGTTCCTGAAAGTGCTAAATCTGGGAAGGATTTCTGGGCACTGCTTCCCTGCCAGTGGGAAATATCTATAAAAGCTTGGTTGGAAAAATGAAAAGCCAAACTCCTGCCTCCTTTTCTTTTTGTGCCAKCGTGAGGATCAGCTCAGCAATATTCCTGATCACATCCCTGTCACGAGGAGGGTGTGCTCAGAGCAACATTAGGGACACTCAGCCCTGGGTGGGCACATTGGTCAGGGAGAAAGTCCACGAGAAACTCTTCTGGCAGCAAATAAACTTGTGAGGCTCAGTGTCCAGGTACTTGACTAAYGGTAACATCCATGCACGAGTAAAATCAATTGGGACTTGGCATTGATTTCCATGGGATACGTACTTCACCCCTAAGGTCTTTTGGCCAGCTGAAGTCTCCATCCTTGTGGGTTTTGTTTTTTTTTTTTTTTTTTTTTTCTTTATTGATACCACTGCAGGCTGGGACAGGACTTTGGGAAATTAATTAGTGTGAGCCCTGATCAATAAGGGTCATAGTTTATGTATTTCATTATCAAGTCTGTAAGAGATTCAGGGAGTTTGTGGAGAGCTTGTCACCTGCAGTCAGGGCAGAGCAGGCTGCACATTCCAACAGCCCTTGATGGGCAGAGTCTGCTGCGTCCTGGCCATTTGCTGAAATGCAGCTCACCCTGTGCCATAAAGAAAACTCCATCATTTAAATCATGTTCTGAAACGTRGCTGAGGCTGTTCGTTATCCTGGTGTGTTGTACACCACATGTGCAATAGCAGATCCTGCAGCTTTGCCTTTATTTAACAGGAATTTTAGAGCCATCAGTGGGTGTAAGGAGTGGTGTCCGTTTCCATGTGGATGGGTCAGGACTCAG